TCATTTTTCTTTTAGGATTTCAGTACCTGTATTAGTGCCCATGTTGTCAGGTCATGTGTTCAATGCTATAAGGATTTCTTTAAACTGTCTGGAAGATTTTCTTATCAGCCCAAGAAATAACCTTGCAGGGCCGAACGTTTCTGAGCCGATACCTCAGAAAACTTCATTCTTTAATGACATCCCTGAAATTAAACACAGGGATCTGCAGATCACACTGCTGCACCATATAGGAGAAAACAAAATATTGCCTCTTCATATTGCACAGACAATACAGATGAAGAATAAAAGCACTCATAAGTGGGTTTATATCGGCTTTATTAAAAGTATTAAGTGGTTTTGATATATATAGTACATAAATTAGCAAAACAGTGAATCCCTGTATTGTATTAACCAAAAGTTATAATGCAGTTATGTGAAATAATTCCGATATCTGTAGGACAATTGTTTTCTTCCCCAATCTTTTTCCATAAGTTTGTTCCTGTGTGAAAATTCTTTGTTGAATGAAAACCAGGAAAAAAAAAACTCTTCTGGGGCTCCGAATTCCGAAGTGAGGGACACGCAGAGAGGAAGTCTGGCTCTACCCGTCGGCAAATTGATTTCACTCGTCACTGGTGGGTCCGGGTCGGAGCTCAGGGCCTGCGTGTCCACCCTCTGTCCATTCCCTGCTTGACAGGGGGGGGGTCCTAGGGTTTCCTCCCTTTCTTGCGCAGCGACTGGCCCTCACCGGAGAAGGCGATGAACCTGTTCACGGCATCCTCCTGCAGAACAGTGGAGACGGACAGCAGACAGCGCCTCGTTAGGCTCTCTTCAGGAAGCGGCCTCAACAGGCATAGGGCCCCAGTGCATGGGACAGCTGGACGCCACGCCTGGCAACCAGGAGGGAGTCTCCACAGCTGCTTGAGCCCACTGAAGCTCAGCAGTGTGAGCCTGGCCAGTACCTGCCTGGAAGCCTCCTGGGAAAAACTAAGGTTGCTGCTGGAAGAGGTGTTAGTGGGGCCAGCAGGGGGCGCTCACCCTGCGGGCTGTGTGGGTCCTAATGCCCCAGTATAGTGACGGGGACACTATACTGTAAACAGGCGCCGTCCTTCGGATGAGACGTAAAACCGAGGTCCTGACTCTCTGTGGTCATTAAAAATCCCAGGGCGTTTCTCGAAAAGAGTAGGGGTGTCACTCCGGCATCCTGGCCACATTTTCCATTGGCCCTTACCAATCATGGCCTCCTAATAATCCCCCTCTATGAACTGGCTACATCACTCTGCTCTCCTCCCCACTCATAGCTGATGTGTGGGGAGCGTTCTGGCGCACTATGGCTTCCGTCGCATCATCCAGGTGGGGCTGCACACTGGTGGTGGTGGAGGGGATCCCCATTACCTGTAAAGCGCTTTGAGTGGAGTGTCCAGAAAAGCGCTATATAAGTGTAAGCAATTATTATAATTACTAATTATTAATTAAAGCTCTACGACCAGCACATGAATTCGGGATTTAAAGTGCAATATAAAACCGAGAAGGACCCCAATGCTATTTTGACATGGAAGGGGAACCCCACTTTGTCCCACTGCTATTTTGACATGGGAGGGGATCCCCACTTTGTCCCCCACTGAAGTGCAGCCCAAGGTGAGTGACAGGCTGCACTTTTCTGCACAGTCTATCAGGTGGAGGAGTGACAAGCTCATGAATTAAGCTGGGACTTTAGGAAGGCCAGATTGTTCAAGAATTTAAAGAGGACACCAGGATTACACCCCTACAGGACCAAGAGGTCTTCAATGAGCAAGTAATCAGCTTAATGTCTATCCCAAAAGGACAGCACCTCCTACGGTAGCAATCTGGTCACTACTGGTGTGGAAATTGTTTTAGAGGAAAGAACGCCGCCTACTGACAGCTGGACAGCCATCTTGCACATTGGATTAACGCAGGGGAGTTAAGTTTTGATTTTATCTGCATCCGAGTTAAAACATGCAGGGACAAATTCAGAACTTGAATCTCTTTTTAAGTTGAAAGGACAAAGACAAAAAAGGGCAACTATTTCTTTCTTTCCTTAACACTTACATCGTCTATTTTCTTCGGCTGCGGCCGTGAATTCCTGATGAAGGTTATCTTCCCCATCCTGAAGTCGTAGTTCGGAATGCCCCTGAGGGAGAGGGGAAAACCACCGGTCACTTCAAGCCGAATCCTTGCGGATCAGTGCGGGATCTCGGCTCACACACCTCCCAGGATGCGTGATGTCTAAGAGCTCGGTGCGCAGCTGAAAACACCTGAAAATACAGCAATTCCCTACACTTTGCCCTTTGCCTCCCTCGTCCTGCTTACTGACAGGCCTCGCCGTCTTCATATATAAAACCATGTTTCAGTAATAGGTGTGCAAGATGGAATCACCAGTGGACCAGTCATCAACACTGCCCTCTCAGCATGGGGCAGGAGAGACTGCCTCTCCAAAAGCTTTACCCTTCTGCCCTGCGCCAGAAAAAAAATCCCTAGTTCTTGGAAGAACTGTCCAGAAGCCACAATAAATTTAGGTAGGCTCTAATCTCTATTCTCAAACATTTTTTTAGAAAATTGGCTTTTTGTTTTTTGAAGGCTCTGAACATCCGTGCATGTCATCAAGTTAATGGGGCGGAGTGGTGGCTCTGTGGCTAAGTATCTGCGCCTGTGGCTGGGAGGTTGCCGGTTCGTAGCCAGCCAGCAGAGGAATCCTACTCCGTTGGGCCCCTGATCAAGGCCCTTAACCCCATCTGCTCCAGGGGCGCCGTATAAATGGCTGACCCTGCGATCTGACCCCAAGCTATTTTTACTTTCTGAATACAATGGTTAAAGCCCCAACATGTTTAACAACAAGCAGGTCGAATGAATCTTCATGTGAAGGGTCTGACTGTGAAACCGAGGGCTCGGCTGGAACACGAACAAACAGGTGTGCTCGTCACCAGCACCAGAGCTGGGGACCACTGCCACAGACTCCAGGCCCAGATGGTACCTCCCAGCAGAAGATCCCCACTCTGGGATTGGCTGAATTAGAAGCTGGCAAACGAATCGGCATGCTCTGATTGGGCGGGAAGTCATTCCCTAACTTCCCTTCCCTAATTTTCTCCTTTCTGGCCCCCTTGCTACCGGAAGATGACCAGGGGACCCGAGCTCTTTTTGCAACACGGAAACGCACAGACAGGCCGGCGTGAGCGGGTGGGAGACCTTTTGATGTCGTTGGGGTCCAGAGGCGCCGGGCTGGGCTCGATGCCCTTCTTCTTGCCGTCCAGTCGGTTCCCTGATCCCGTGAATGCCTGACAGGGACAAGGGAGGATAAGAACAGGATCAGACGAGATGCAGCCCTTTTCGCTCCCACAGTGCTGGGCAGCTAGTTGACCCCCAAGATCTCATCCTGCCTTTTCTGTTCCTTGATCGGACAACACACCCCCCCCCCACTCTTTGTGTAAACCAGATTAAATATGACAAGAAGAAGTGCTGATCAGAAGTGAGCCCACATTTGAGATGATGATGACGACGAATTATTACTATAATAATCTGTTTATAACTCCTAGAATCGATTTCTGCACTTCAGGAGTTTGCACTCCTTGTTTACTTTAAACTTTAGGAGGGTTTGCACTCCTGGAGAGACATGGGGCCTCAGTTTCATTATCTAACCAGATGTTCCGTGAAGTACATCTGCTCCCAGTTGTGGTGTGGACTGCCTTCACTGGTCTGTACTGCTCTGGACGGAATTATAATAATTCCAGACAAGCAAATGCAGATATGGTTTCTTGATACAATTGGCCCCAACCCCAAGCTGCTCAACAATGTATTATTTTATTTCCACAGGAAGAAATAAAAAGAGTCATAGAATCCTAGCAGTGTTGCTTTTTCAAACACTGATTTACTTCAGATGCAAAAATACATAAGAAGGTTTCCAGTCATGAAACCATCATTCCATATTCTGTTTAACTGGGAAAAAAAGTGTCACGGAAGCACGGAAAACTCACTCTGAAGCCAACATCCATTTCAGCATAGCTGCTATGGTCAGCGTCCTCCTCCTACGCAGAGAATCATGGGAAATCAGTTCAAAGGGCAGTGACAGTACAGCTACAGGAGCGTTTACCCAGACACAACCACAGCGTGAGCACTGCCAACGCAAGCTACCAATAAAACGACTGTTTAGATGGATAGGATGGATACGACAAACCTTTCGATAAAGACAGCAGGGGCACCCCAGAAAAACGGGCGTCCTTAAAGACGGACCCCGGCACACCCCCATCTACAAGCTGCGGCATCCCACCAACGTGGAGAGTACAAATCAGTGCCGGACCAAAGATCGCAGGGGGACGTCACTTGTCGTTCCTGCCGCCGGAAGCGTCCGCCGCTGTCCTGCTTGCGCCCCCCTGCAAAGCGCGACAGAGACGGAACCCCGCGCCGCGGCTCCCGTACCGTGGGCTCCTCGTGATGCTGCGAGCGCCGCTCCGGCTCCTTGTAGCCCAGAGGGGCATCGAAGTCCACCTGCAGGAGACGGAGAGACGGAGCAGAAAAGAAGACATGGTGAGGGACCCCCGCTCTGACCCTTGCTGCCAGGGGCGGATTAAGAGCAGGCTGGCATAGGCTGGGGCCCCTGATTGGCCAGAGTATTTTTTTAACTGACCTGTGGGCCTGATCAGGGGCCCCTGATTGGCCAGAGTATTTTTTTAACTGACCTGTGGGCCTGATCAGGGCCCCCCCATTGGCCAGAGTATTTTTTTTAACTGACCTGTGGGCCTGATCAGGGGCCCGATTGGCCAGAGTATTTTTTTTTTTTAAACGGACTTGTGGGCCCCCATTGGTCCATAATAACATTGAATAATTTTTGAACCAATGATTGGTTAGATGCAATGGGTTCACAGTTCAAATTTATTTTGGGGCATTCATCGGGTCGGTGATCTCTGGTGCAAGTTTACGGTAGCCAGCCTCAAAATAAGCAGTAGAGAAATATTGGATCGTCGGTTTCAAAGTAAGCGTGCGCATGATTTCTGTTGTCAGCTCGCAGATTGCCTGTGAATCTGATTAATTGGTTGCATTGCTGTACTTCCATTACAGGCTATTGTAGTGTGTGTGTGTGTGTGTGTGTGTGTGTGTGTGTGTGTATTTGGGCTCCCTGTGTACCTGTGTGTGTGCTGCCTTAAATTCCGTTTGAATAGGCGGTAGCAGCCTCGTACTCCAAACGCGTCACTGAATTATTAAAGTAATTTCTCTCGCTTTTTTTCTGCTAATGGGATGGGGGAGGGACCTACACAACATGTAGCCTAGGGGCCTCTGACCACCTTAATCAGCCACTGTTTGCTGCATCCTGCCAAGGAAGCCCTGCACAGCAGCAGGTACTGTACTGGGACACTAGTGTGGAAAACCCGGTCCAGAGGCAAGAGCACCCTCTACAGGTGAACCGAAAACATTGACAGCAGCAACCTGGTTTTCCTTAGAGGTCACTCACCTCAGCACTGACCAGGCCAAGTCGTGCTGAGTTTCTGAGATCTGACCAGATCGGCAACGAGTATATTTTACGGTCTAAAATATACCAAATTCCCCTAACACAAAGTAAAACCGTCTAAACTGTTACTAGAGCAGCGCTCTGCATTACGGTTTGACAAGAGAAACGTGTAAAATAAAATAATAATAATAAAATAATAATAATAATAATTGCTTACACTTATATAGCGCTTTTCTGGACACTCCACTCAAAATGCTTAACAGGTAATGGGGATCCCCTCCACCACCGCCAGTGTGCAGCCCCACCTGGATGATGCGCCAGAACGCTCCCCACACACCAGCTCTCAGTGGGGAGGAGAGCAGAGTAATGAAGCCAGTGCAGAGATGGGGATTATTAGGAGGCCATGACTGGTAAGGGCCAATGGGAAATTTGGCCAGGACGCCGGGGTTACAGCCCTACTCTTTTCGAGAAACGCCAACGCCAATGTGAAATGTGTTATTTATTGACGTGTGTTCTATAGCTTCATCAGGTTCATCAGTGTTGAGGACTGAGCGGCGGCTGAGGCTCTTACATTCATGTCGCACTCAATGATGGACACGGCCTTATCTGGTTTGGTCTCCATCACTCGCAGCTCGTAGATCTGAAGGGACAAGGGAGGGGAAACAAAATGATGCCAATTCTGTACAGGCTGCACATCAGCTGTACCTCTGTCAGCACACGCGATCCATTCTAGTATCCCTGACCTAGACTCTAGGGATCACTCACAATTCCAGTTCAGTCACCAACGTTTTACATAAGAATATAAAGGAGGATTTGCGAAAAGACAAATTACTAATGCAAGAAATTGTATAGGGCTAATAAAGTGATCTTATCTTAAATAAGAAGAGGTCATTCAACCTATCTTGCCCATCTGGTTGCTGGGAAACTCCTCGCTCAAAGATCTCATTTTATGGAATGCACTTCACTGCAATACCCTCAGGTCTGATAAGAAAAAAACAAATTCTTTACCTTTTCATTGTAGTTGATTGCAATGACATCACCAGTCGTGAGGCAAGCGAAGTTCCTCAGGGCATTTTCTAACCTATAGAAGTGGAAGTGTCGTGAAGGAAACATGAATGGCGGAAAAATAACTTAAGAGGAACAAGCAATAGGTTTATTCCCTGCTGAAAAGAGAAGAAAGAAAACACAACGTTTCGGCCGTGGAGCCTTCTTCGGGTGTGAGATCTCTCTGGGAAGAGATCTTATCCCAAACTGCCAATTCTTGAAGGTTCAGGAAGTCTAGAACTGCTCCACGATTCAAAAGCCGAGTCCATAGCTGTCCACAGGAATAATTACAGCAATGTTGTCTGAATAAGAACAGATCACTTCATTTGGCCATATACAATTTCTTGTATCAGGAATTTGTCTTTTTGCAGACCCCAGCTTACTTTCCATGAGACACTTTGACAGGGAGGGAGAAGCTGGGGGTCAGAGCGCAGGGTCAGCCATTTATACAGCTCAATGGAGTAGGATTCCTCTCCCGGTTGCGGGATTTGAACCGGCAACCTCCCAGCCACAGGCGCAGATCCTTAGCCAGAGTGCCACCGCTCCGCCCAAGGAATGAATTGCCTGTCATCTTATCCAAAGGTATTTGCTCTGTAGGAATATTCTGTGGAATTACTCCTGTGGAAAGCGTTGTCATTTTAAGTAGGATCTTTCTCCAGGCCTTAGTGGTACTTGAACCCATGTCTGAAACTGGAAGGATACACTGCTTTGGGGTTGGTGATGTCGAGGAAGTCTGGGCTCTGGGGTTGGAACTTTGAGTACGTTGCGACCATGAGATTCACACTCTCCACCTGGACCAGACCTCCTTCCTCCAGCAAAAGATTCTGCATCATCTGAAGGAAAACAGGCCAAGCAGACAAATAAGTGAGGGCAGGAAAGGCAACCAAGTCAGCAGCTTTCATTGAATCAATCCCCCAGCTCTTACTGCCTGGGCACAATCAATGTTCACTGTTACCATGCAACATGAAGCAGTTCTCGGGGCTTTATAAATAAAAGTATGTAAGCGTATGCTCTTTTACTCCAATTGCCAGATCGACAATAAAACCAACCCCTTTTACTTTAACAGACATTTTATAAACGTTCACCTACAGTTTTTTTACTTTCAATACCTGAGTAAAAACATGAGAAAGGTTACAAATAAGAACAAGCAGTGGAGCTGATCCAGCCTCTAGATTTCATCACTGACTGATCTGAGGAACTCCACCAGCTCTTTCAGAAAAGAACCATCAGCAATAGCTCATGCAAACATGTCTCTCACATTGTTTGTTATGTCACATGACATAAAAAGACTTTCAATTCACACAATAAAAGCTATTAACAATACTATTTAATACAGATGATTTTAAAGCGGAATATATTTTTTCAGCTTTACCAAACAGAAATAGCTTTACCAAAGCAAAGTTACATATTTTATTAAAACATTTTAAGAAGGGGACACTCACCCAGTGAGGCAAGTAACAGATTCCTTCGTCCGCGACAAACTCCAGCACGCCGCAGTGCGTCATGCGGTCCGAGTTCTTATTAGTCAGCTTGAACAGCATTGGATAGGTGATGTTGAGACGACCTGAAGGAAGACTCGAGTTAAACTGTGCGTGCCCGACAAAGCAAGGCTCTTACGGATCTGTTTTCCAGACGAAACTGCTAGTTCTTCATTACCAACAGAGACGCACATGGCAAACACAGAACATATTTTTACATATTACATATTTTGTCACTGGCGTACTTACTGAGCTGGTCCAGCGCAGATGGAGGCATTATAACTAGAACAAAAAAAAGAACAACAAAAGCTTAGCATCGCTGAAATACATTTCTTTTACTATGCTACATTATGACTTAATAAGGAACAGGTAAACGTTTTTTTCCTCGCTGAAAAGAAAAAAGTGAGACAAAGTTTTGGCTGTGGAGCCTTCTTCAGCTGAGGAAGAAGAAGGCTCCACAGGCAAAACGTTCGTTTTGCAGCAGGGAATAAACCTTTACCTGTTCCTTTGCAGCCTAAGCATCCTGCTGCAGCTCCCTACCTGAACTTATGACATAATGTCATATACTGTATCACATTTATATTATGCTATGTTCTGTGGCAAGATGTTACAGTGCAGTACAGCTGCTCAGCAAGCCTGTCAGAAACTGAGCTTTTCACAATATTGGCGTTCTAAATGGGTGGCATCAAGCCAGCTGCCCAGACCCCACGCTGAGGACCGGGCGACGTCTCAGGAGACCCAGCAAAGCCTCCCCTGCTCTTACTTTTCCCTCCTTTCTCGACGTCGGAGCGGTCGTTGGGCCCGGCCAGCATGGAGACGGAGTAGCAGCGGTACTGTGTGGAGAACCGGTTCTGGAAGGCCCGTGGAATCGGGTGGTCAAACATATTGAAGGAAAACTGAAATGAGAGGACAGAACGATCAGCCCCCAGAAAACAACAACGAAGGTTTCATCTCAATAGGTGTGGAGACAGCTGGTTGTACAGGTATACAGCGTGGTTCCACTCACACTTCTCTGACCAATCTGAAATCAACTTCAGCTCCAAATACTACTTTCAGAGATTCCATTCAGATCTAAAATATTTTCGCAGAGACCTGGACTGTCATTGGAGCTCCTGTCTTTTATAATAATAATAATAATAATAATAATAATAATAATAATAATAATAATAACTGCTTACACTTATATAGCGCTTTTCTGGACACTCCACTCAAAGGTCTTTACAGGTAATGGGGATATCCTCCACTACCACCAGTGTGCAGCCCCACCTGGATGATGCGCCAGTACACTCCCCACACATCAGCACTCAGTGGGGAGCAGAGCAGAGTAATGAAGCCAATTCAGAGATGGGGATTATTAGGAGGCCATGACTGGTAGGGGCCAATGGGAAATTTGGCCAGGATGCCAGGATTACACCCCTACTCTTTTCAAGAAACACCCTGGGATTTTTAATGACCACAGAGAGTCAGGACCTCGGTTTCACGTCTCATCCGAAGGAGAGCGCCTGTTAACAGTATAGTGTCCCCGTCACTATACTGGGGCATTAGGACCCACACAGACCGCAGGGTGAGCGCCCCCTGCTGGCCCCACTAACACCTCTTCCAGCAGCAACCTGTTGTGAGTTGCAGAGTGATATAGCTGCAGGCCATTTCACAGCCTATTGCCATTACAAATACAGGCACCCTGGTGTTGTTCTGCTCTCGCACAAAAAGCACAACTTTCAGACCTGGACCATGTGGGAGAATGTCAGGTCCTTCGTCAGGAAATGTGATTTATATAAAAGGAGCTGCATACTGGCTACTGCTTTTCCTGCTGACATCCCAGATCAAGGATGTCCAGTTATGGCTCTGGAGATC